GAGAGATGTATATATGAGCCTAGCTACCAACCCTTAAATCCCATAGGAAATTTAAAGAGGGGACTTCCCTTTCAACGAAAAATCCCAGGTAGGATTTAGCACACAGCAGCATAATCAGCTTAGCTGGTTGAATATCTTGGTATTAAAACCAAATTACTGTGTATTATCTGTAAGTTACATCCATGGTCACTGGTGCTTCCTCTTTTAGATCTGACTGTTATATGCAGTAGTTAATCTGCTTCTTTCCCTCTTTGGTCTCCCCACACAGAGATTTTAACAGCACACCTCTGGTGTACAGAGGCCAGCTGCTTCAAAGCTAGCAGCTTATGTGCTTTTATCAGAACTATCACACCCATGGGCCTGAAACCTTTTAATGAGATAGGATGCAGCAGGGTGAATGAAGTTCCTGTTGCTGTTACAGGTATCTTTGCACTCAAGTTTATGCTTCACTCTATCATCTGCTCATAAAACAATAAATGAAAAAAACAGCGATGTGTCCCAGTGAACTGAAACAAAAGGCAAAAAGAGGGGGGACTTTCTGAGTGAAGACTTGTGAGCCTGGCTTTCCCGTTGGCTGCGTGACAAAGGGAAAGGTGGTCAAGGAAGTGAGTGGGTCAGCATCAGGCAGTGTCTTGCTGTTTCTGAGAGAACAACAGGCTTCTGTGTTCACCTCATCCCTTCAGTATTGTGCTTTTAGTTAGTCCCATATGAAGGTGCTTCCCACATCTTAGTCGTAATACCATAGTCCCAGCTTCATCTGGGAAGCCCCTGCTCTAAGTCAGCAGTTTCTGTTCTTAACTGAAGCTGAAACATAAGGAAAAGTATTGGGGAGGTTGTTCCAGCCTATACCTCTGAAATCAATAGCCCACTTGTGCCACATGGTATCAGTCTCTGCTGTAGGTTTCAACTAATCTGTAGGCAATAATGAATTACCTGATAAGTACTTCAGCTTTTTCTAGTCTTCAAATTTCACTGTATTTAATGGTAGTTCTCAGAGCAGACTTCACAAGCAAGAATTGAGGAGCTACTTTAGTGAAAGATCTCATGGAATGTTTAGTACATAAGAGGTTACAACACGTGTTCCCTCTCAAAGCAGAAATTCTTTGAAAATGTCAATATTAATTCTGTTAAAATAGGGCTGGCTTAGAATTGTCCCTAAATTTTTGTTCGGATACGCTCTTTTCTTTCAGTGTTCAGTGTCTTATATTGTTTTCTTTTTGAGCATCCGGTAGCTTTTTTTTCTTTTAATGGGTTTTTGGTTGGTTTTTTTTTTTTTTTTGCTTCTAAATTTATTTTTTTAAAAGTAAAATTACTCTCTACTAAAATTATTCTCTATTAAGGGGAGGGGAGGGGAGGGAAGTATGGCTTAGATGAAGAGAGCAGAGTGGATTGAGGACTAAATCACAAACTTCTGATTTATTTGTGACCGGCTCAAAAAGTATCTACCCTGCATAGGACAGTGCTATCTATGTAGAGAGATCCAGTCGAGAAATCGTAAAGTCGCATTTTTTGCAGTTCCCCTCTCTGCAAAGAAGGGATGATACTTATCCATCTCGGGCATGTTTGGGATTTGCACTTTACTCTGAGTGTAAGAACCACCCTGCATGCTATGTTATGTTATCATTGCAGTAGATGCAGACCAGGAGGAGGGGAGCCAGGGAATAGGCTCCTTTCCTTGCCAAGAAAAGGCTTTCCTTGCCAGGGAAAAGGCTCCTTTCCTTGCCAAGGTGTATGGAGCACTTGCTCCCTTCCTCCCATAGAGTGAGAGGTGACGGTGAGCAGCAGCCACCTGTCTCCCTTCCTCTTCCCCAAACCAAGCAGTCCCTAGTTTCAGAAAGCAGTTAAAGGCTTTGTTAACCCCTGCAAGCTTCCCCTTGCTGCCCCTGCTGCACAGTGAAGCAGCCGGGTGGTGATTTAAAGCTGGTGGGTGGGAGCAGGGCTTGAGGAAAGCTTCTCTGACCCTGCTTCTGGCTCCTGCTTGCCTCCCCACCACCCAGCTGGGCCTTGGGGGTCAAGGGGAGCCAGGTGCTAGACTGGGAAAAGCCCCCACACACCCAGCTCCTGGCCTCTCCAGCTTTAAATTGCCACCCCCATCACTCAGCTGAGTAGCAGAGGAGCAAATGGAAGCCAGAAGAGCTGGGCATATGGAAGCTTTCCCCAACCTGGGTCCCAGCTCCTTCAGCTTCCGCTTGCAGCCTGCGCTGACCCAGCACAGAGCAGTGAGGCCTGCTGCTGTGCTCCTGAGCCTGGCCACATGGGTAAAATGCCCCTGCCTCACTCTACAGTGCTGTGGGTCAGCCCAGAGCAGCACAGGATGAGCTTCTTTGAGAGGGAACACATGCTTTGAGAGGGAATTGCTGCTTTGAGAGGGAACACATGTTGTGACCTCTTATGTACTAAATGCCATGAGATCTTTCACTAAAGTAGCTCCTCAATTCTTGCTTGTGAAGTCTGCTCTGAGAACTACCATGAAGTTTGAAGACTAGAAAAAGCTGTGTTGGGAAGTACTTATCAGGTAATTCATTATTGCCTACAGATTAGTTGACGCCTTGCCACAGCACCTAAGTTCTCCAACCATTAGGTTGGAACAATAGTTCTTAAGCTTTTTGGACTTGAGCAGGGATGTCCAAACTTTTTGAATGTGGGGCCGGATCACGAACTTTTTATTACCCAGTGGGCTGGAAAGCCATATTCAAAGACCTCACAGGAAGTGGTATCATATCAGGAAGTGATGTCACGTGACCTTTGACACCAATGAAGTTGCAGGAAGTGACAATGAAATGGGTCTGGAAATGTGGTTTAAAATCCTAAATAAAAACAATATAAAAGCAAGAATTAAATAATACCAAACACTTGGCTAAAATAAACGCTTTTGCTTGTACTCACTTCTCAATGAATGCAAGAAGCATAATGCAAGTCAACAGATCAAACGTGGAAAAGATATCAGCCAGACTGGAAACTAATCAAAGCAACAAAATATGGGCATTTTTGAGAATAATCTTCAAGAAGTTTTACTCTTATTGAATTAATAACTTGTTAGTTACACATCTTTAACAAGTAGTAACAAGTTGAACCCCCAATCCCGCACAAAGAGAAACAGAAGCAAACACAATCCAAACATTGGACAGTATTTTTACAGACCTGGTGCCCGGCCGGCCTGGTGCCATGCCTGGGTTGGCATGGTGCTGCAGGAACCGCTTGGCTACAGCCCGGTTGACCTGGTGCTAGAGAAGCTGTGGGGCCAGGCCAGGGTTCAGCTGGGGCTCACCCGGCCTGCCAGTGCCATGCCTAGGTTGACATGGTGCTGCAGGATGCAGCAAGCAGGTCGGCACCAGCTTCCTGGGCAGAAGCAGGTCAGCACCAGCCAGGAAAAGTAGCATGCAAATGAAGCCGGCTTCCCATGTGCTGCTGAGGATGGGAGTAGGCCAGCCAGGTCTGCACTGGCCAGCAGAAGCGGCGGTGGAGCCATGTGGTACCTGAGACTGACTGGTGCAGGCTCGTCCTGTCCCGAGCAGCACACGGCTCCGCCGCCGCTTCTGCTGGCCAGTGCAGATCTGCCCGGTTTCCTCCCGTCCCTAGCAGCACATGAGAAGTGGCCCCCTCGGAGCCTTGCGCACAAGTGGCTGGGCCCAGAGAGCCACAGCGCCTGGGAGGAGACTAGCTGGGGGAGCAGGCACCGCCTTGCTGTGGGGCAGGGCAGGGCAGTGGGGTAGGTGAGGAGGCAGGTACAGGCTGGCAGTGCCAGCGGCTGCTGCTTGGCCTCCTGCGTGGGGCCACTCCGGCAGCGCAGGGCTCGGGCTTGTGTCAGGGTGGGGAGGCAGAGGCAGGAACACGGGCGCTCCCGGATGCGCATCCTTCCCCCCCAGTGACCGGTGTGTCCCGGGTTGGCAAGCGCTCCTCCACCACCCGGCGGCAAAGTTCTCCCATGAAGGCTCCGTCCTGCACCTGCCCTGAGCCTGTTTTACTGGCTGCGGCCGCCCAGGCAGGCACCGGCGCCTCAGGGTGGACGGGCGGGCAGGGCCACTCAGCAGCCGCAGCCAGCGCTGCCCCCAGCCAGGCAGGGATTCGGCCCTGCGAGGGACCCGGCCAGGCCATGCTGCACTGACACAGTGCGTGTGGGAACCTTGTCCCTTCAGCAGCCATTAGGAAGCTGCTGAGGGGCTGGGGGAGGGACAAGGGGTGGGAACGAAAGTAAACAGTGTTTACTTTCATTTTCCATCGCAGCACCACAGGCCACAGAAAATGCCTTAGCGGGCCACATGTTGGACAAGCCTGGACTTGAGGCACCCTTCAGTGGACTCTAGGCACCCCTCCATAACTTGTGTAAATTGAGTGGCACCCAGGTTCAAAGACTAATTTACAGTATTTACCTCCTGGCACAGGTGCTGGGCAGTATAGGGGTGGGGATCATCCAGGCAGAAACAAGCTTGGTTTATCTGCCTGTCTCCTCACACCTTGCAGTATCTTTTAAAGGATCTGGTGGCACCCCTGGGTGCCCTGCCACCCTGGTTGAGTATCAGTGGGCTTGAGGAACATCTGTACAGACCAGCTTCCAAGCTAACTTTCTGCCAGAAGAAATTACATCCAATAGAAATGAGCTTCTGCATGTAACCACTTTCTTAGATAAACATATCTGTGGGCTGTTTTTTATCATTCCTTTTGACTTCTGAGCACTGCCTGGCCAGTCTTGTTATGGTGTCTGAAACATTAGATGAAATCCTGGCACCACTGAAGTCTGTGTTGGTGCTTACTATTTTCTTTTGAAAACCATAGACTTGAACCGCAAAGCAAATCTTTAGGATGATTTCATGACTACTTCCTACAAACAAAACTGATAGGTTCAGTTTATAATCTTTCTGTGACTCACACCCTGCAGCCCAACTAGTGAATGTTTTAAGTGTCATGTACAGATGGATGCAAATGTAGGAGTGCTGTGCAGTTAGCTATTTGAAGTGCGCTATGTTGAACTTTGTAATTTTGACTGACTTGTCTCATTTCAGCCATACTCGCAGAAGACAAAAACTCCAGTGAGCCTACATGGAAGAATAAAAATTCTATATCTACCCTAAGCACTCCGGAGCCAGCAATGATGCATGAACCCTTAGTTGGCAGCCAGAAGAGGAAAGCAAGGAAAACTAAGATCACCCATCTGGTTCGAACAGCAGACGGTCGGGTGTCACCAGCAGGAGGGGTGCTAGGTAAGGAATTAAAGTCTTTAAATTATGCAAAATACAGGTTGTTGTGGATGGGTCTGGGATGTAGCAAGCTACTTAGAAAAGCCTGCAACTGAGACTGGTCATAAGTGTTCAGTGGAAAGACAGTTATGTAAAAATGCAAATACCATCCATGTTGTATTTCCAGGGAAATTGTTAAACTCAAAATAGGCAGTTTTCTGTTGGACGAAAATCTTACGATGCTTAAAATTGTGCAAGTCTCTCAATGTTTTTGTGTGAGAGACAGAGGATGTGGGAAAACAGTTATCTTTTAAAATGTAATTGCTTCCAGCTAGTAAAGAAATAATCCTTTACCTATAAATCAGGTACAGTTAGAGGACAAAAAATTGGGCTCTGAAACATATAATCACTAGGTAAATCAGGCTCCCTTAATGGGTTATCAGTAGTAAGGCTAGAACTTAGTACCTTTTCATCTAAAAGTAAGAGTTTCTTATTGTCCAAGGTAAAAGACTGACTTCTGTTAGCCAGGTGTAGACTTGTGAGCCTCCAGCCATTACCGGGGTCAGAGAACAACACTGATTAAACTGGGATTGACATAGGAAGTCTCAATTCATGGTAAAGCTCCTAATGAAGTGCTGCTCCAGATACTCAGAACTTTGCTGACTTATGGCACTTGTACACGTGACAAGGGTCAAGCCCCCTAAATTGAAACAGTGGATTTTTAACTAAATTAAAAACCCAGGGTTTTTTAATTTAGGGGCTTCTGTCACTGTTACAGCAAGGAGCTTGATCCTTCTTTTTTCCATAGAGCCTGCCCACAGCTGGGGGGGTAAGCTGCCAGCGGGCTGAGGAACACCTGAGCTGCAGGCAGCCCTGGTCCTTTCCTCTGGCAGCGGTGCTGCTAGTGGACAGAGCTGAGCAGAAATATTCACACTGAAAACAGCTTGGGCTCAGGGAACAGTTGGGTTGGGCTAGGTGCTGCCTCTGAGCTGGGGCAGCACCTGTCCACTAGCCACCCACTCAGGGGCCGCAGTTGTGGCAGAGTGAAGGGCCAGGGTGTCTCGCTGCTCAGAGCCTGGCAGCAGCTTGTCCCCTGGCCACAAGAGAGACAAGCAGGGGCCCAATGCTTTTTTTTTTTTTCGCAGAGCCTGCTCACCTCTCCCAAAGCGAGGGGGGTGAACTGCCAGAGGGCCCTGAGCTAGTCTTTCCCTCTACGATGGCTGTGCCTCCAAGGGATGCCTGGGCAAGCAACTAACAGGCGGGTGCTGCCCCATCTCGGAAGCAACACCCAACCCAATTGGCTGAGGCAGTCCCCATCTACTAGCAGCCCACCTGGGTAGCCTCAGAGGGCACCACACTGCTGCAGGGGAAGGACCAGGGCCCCTACAGCCCAGGGGCCGCTTGGCTTGCCAGCAGCTTGCTCCCCGCCATAGGAGACATAGGCAGGCTTCACGGGGGGGCAGAAAAATGGATCTGGCCCCTCGCCACTTCTCCCGCTGTGGGGGGTAGTGAGCTGTCAAAAGGCTGAAAAGTTACAAATAGCTACATTGCAAACTAAAATACATGCAGCTTGGCTTAGTTTGCAATGCAACAAACTCCTTTAGATCACAAAAAAACCTGGTACATATTCTGCGTGATACAATTAAACCACAAAAATGGGCAATTTTCATCATGTGTATAAGAGCCCTTGCTTTCTTGCCTTTTTTACCTGTTTATTTTCTCTTATTGCAGAAGAAAAACCAAAGGAGCTACTACAGGGTAGTCTCCAGAAAGTGTCAAGTGTAGAGACGGATTGCAACAGTGAATGCTCAAGAAACACAGAAGCAAAAGAAACTCATAGTATTACACAGGACATGCCAGCTGTGTCTGCATTCTTTAGTCTTGCTGCTCTGGCAGAAGTAGCAGCAATGGAAAATGTACACAGGTCAGTATAAGTGGCATTCCCTCATTTATCTAAAAAGATTGTAGCCTTCTTGAACTTGAACTGCACAACATCTGAATTAAATGACATTGTTTCTTTCGAGAGTTCTTTCTGATCGAGTGTGTCCTAGTACTGGCTTAGTAGGTTTAAGTATACATTGGCTTTATTTATCAGTTATCTTTTATAATAAAGTCAGTAAAATGATGCTGCCTGTTAAAGATGCGTACTAATTCTGTTGTTTAGCCTGATTACAGAGTTCTTTTCAGTCCCACTGACAAAGTTTCTAAAAGACTGGTTTTTCCCATGTATCATCTCAGAGTAAAGCAGGTTTAAACAGTCATAGTATGCAGAAACTGCGCATCTCTGGGATTTGAGGGAGAGGGGGAAGCAGGTAGACAGACAGGCAGACAAAACTTTTAAGGCCAAATCCTCAAGCCAAGTCTGGATGAACACTGCATTTGTTTTTCTTTAAACTCTCATGCTATTGCTCAGTAGGAGGTAAAAATCTCATATGGCCGAAGCATTCTAGGAAAGCCTACTAAGTCTTGGCTGCTGCTTTTCCTTCCAGAGTAAACTGTTCACAGAATCGTTCAGATCTTCTCATGCTGTGTGTTCCTGCATTTCAGAGCAATGTTGTGAGAGAACATAGCCAGCAGTGACATCTTTTTTGTTGTAGTTGCTTCAGGTTACTATCTGAGGTAAGCTCAGGTCCTTCCTGGCAGCAGCTGACAATCAGTGAAGGAGCACTGGATTTGTTTAAGAATGGTATTGCCTCCCTTCACATGAGGTTGAGAGACAGACTGCTTAAGGACTTCTTGTTGAGGCAAAAGCTCAAGAAACCACTTCACCATGTTGACAGCCTCACTGACTCTTGACCTTTGTAGCCAAGCCATGATTCAGCTTCTCAGTAAAAATGGCTTGAATATTCAGAGCTGTGTGAGAGCCGTCACAGCCACACAAACAAAACGTTAGGTAAAGCCTTTTCAGAATCATAGCTCCCTTCTGCAGAAGCCATTTGCTTTTTAAAAGACTGTTTTGGAAGAGAAATGCTTTCACACCATTTTCATTGTAGCCTGCCTTCTGATGCTTGCAGAAAACCATACGGGTAAGAGTTAGAGCAAAGTTGTGAACCCACATCTTCCTCATCTGGTCACCAGATTATATATATAATTTCACATATTATGTAATATCAAGGACCAAGACCTAGAGAAATGCAGTGCCTGATTCTGTTCTTTATTACACCCCCGAAGTGGCATACCATCTCTGTCCCTGCCCAATTTTTTGCTCTGCTTTTTGCTCTCAGCTCTGTGCTCCTGACCTGGTTTTCTGCTCTGCTTTCTGCTTCATGCTCTTTCTGCCACTGTGCTGCCTGCCCCCTTTCTAATCTCCCACACGCCCCACACAGGTTAGTGTCTAGTGCCTATGACACTTGCAGCACCCGTGCTACAGGTTGGCCACCTCTGGTCTAGACAGTATCACCAGTTTCAATTTAAAATACAGATTTATGCCAGGGGAGGAGGGAGAGCAAGGGTTTGCTTTAGTTTGTTCATTCTCCTCACTTCTTGTTCTCAAGCTGCTTTTTCTCCTGTTGCAGTGCCCGTGTGAAACAAATCTGGGAGCCTTTCTCTTTTGGGAGTTTTCCTAATACAAACCCAATTTATTTCACCTCTCCTTCCAGCAGTAGTAGCAAAACATCTCTTGCCCATGAGCTACTGCTGCAAACTTGAATTTCCAGTCACCTATCCAAACAGGGCCTCAGGACTCCTTCCGAATACAGTCTTGGCAAATATCTCCTGCAGAACTTAAAAAAAAGTCAAAACATAAATTTGAATCTGATGTCCCTAACTTAGTCTTCATGGTGCCCTGCCAATATCAGCTGCTGTTACTTTGTCCTGCAGATAAATGCAGTGCTAGAAGGTTGCTCTGTTTAGCTTGCTTTGTTTCGTTGCCTGTATTTAATTATTAATTATTTTTACAGAGCCCCAGGGACTGTAGAAAACAAATGCTGTTCTACTCTCATTAGAGTTTGGCTGAAATCTGCAACCTTGTTTTCAATATGAATATTTCTGTTCAGCTCTAGTTACCCAGAGCATGTCATCATTAAATGCAGTACAAACTGGTTAATTCGTCACTCCAAGGGGATTAGTAATGAAAATACATCCACGAATGACTAATTATCAGCAGTTCACGATTTTAACTTTTTGCAGGATGCATTTTTCATGCTACATTGAGACACAGTGGGTGTGTCTACATGTGATGCTATGTTGCCATAGCGTCGGTGGTTATAAACCGTGATGCTGAGGCTGTGTCGCCCTAGCAACAAGCTGCCTCGCTATAGTGCATTGCTACAGCGACATAGCTGCTAAAAATAACTGTGCGCCATCGGGATGGCACAGTAACGGCTGTTACTGCACCATCATTTAGTATTTCCTGAAGTAAGTACTAAATGATATGCGCTCTGGGGGGGGCTCATGTAGACATGTCCAGTAAAAAACAAAAAAAATAACTTTATGACACTTTATCATGAAGGAAAAAATGTGTTACAAAAAGTATACCAAGTGTGGACACTCCCACTTGCTATCCGAGAACTGAATAATTGTACATATAAACACATAATGTACAGTTTCCTACCATGAAAACAGTGATTTTCAGGAAGTGAAATAATCAAAGAGTTTTGCTTTGCACTCTCACGGGCATTTACTGTCAGAACAAAAGATAGTTCTACAGAATCGAATGGTGGATTATCAATGTCTTATTGAGCCAAGAAAAGCTGTAGAGCGGCTGTGCTCTGTGAGAATTGGCTGGCTTGAGAGGTGCTATGCAGGACATGTTTTAAGCTGGCTAATAATCAGGAGCAAAATTCATTGTGGTTTAATATATAGGTTCATTTTAAAATGATTTATTACAGTTTAACATGATGAATTTACTTATATAGTTCGTATATGAATCAGTAAGACTCTGGCAGGGATTCAGTGCACCCACTAGTAGGCCCTAACGTGTGTTATCCCAGTGACTGAGGCTGTGTATAGATGAAATGAGGGGCGTGTGTGCGTGACACTTTAAAGCAAGCTAAATGCTTTTGCACCGCTTTAATGGTGTTGGTGTTTGCATGCCTATTGCATATTGTGCATTAATTCCAGCTGCTGTAGGAAATTTGGCGGTGTAATGCACCTTTAATGACTTGGGGCGCAGCAAACTAGAACTCCTTCAAGGAGTTCTAGTTTGCTGCCCCTACAGCCACGGAGTACAGCACCAGGCTCCGTGCAACTCTGCAGGAAGGCTCTGCCCAAGAAAAGACGTGAGCCTGATCTCTCTCTCTCTCTCCTCCCCCCGGAGCCTGCCTGCCTGCCTGACCTGCGGAGGGGTCCAGTGCTTTCCTTCATGGCTGCAGTGCCCCCTGGGACTGCCTAAGCCAGGTGCCTGCGTGCGGGTGCCGCCGGGGGGGGGGCTGCTGCTGCTGTGAAGGGAAGCGTCAGCCCCTCCTGCAGCCCAGGTACTGCTCCGCCCTCCAGCAGCTCACCCTTCCCTCCCCACCAGAGAGGCAGGTAAGTCAGCAGGGTGTGTGCAAAACACAGGGATTTGATTGGCCCTAAATTGAAGTGGTAGCATTAAGTGGGTTCAGAACACATCTGCACCCACACTTGCTTTAAGGTACCTTGACACTGGTAAAGCAATTAAAAAATATTTGTGCAAAGAAGAATTAGGCCCAAAAGGTTTTCTTACTAGATATTTGAACTCACTTGTGATATTTTGTTTTTTGTTGATTAAAAAAAAAAAAAGAACAAAGATGTGCCATCTGTTCAAATTTAAAAGGTGAACTGCAAATGAGATCTCAAAGTCCATCTGCGTCAGTGATTCAGTTTAAATACCAGCATGTCATTCTGGCACAGATGGACTTCTTTGGCAGTTCATCTCTGTGAAACCCAGCTCATGGGTATTATGTGCAGACTAGCACTGATATAAAACCACCATTTCATTATGGTTGCAGTTGATGAAATATCAGATCTTGAAAAGTTCACGTTGTATCTTAGGGGGACCAAAATGCTTTGCTATCTGTAGGACGCTCAGTGGTTTTTGTTTTACTGTTCCTGGAATGTATGAAGTATAGAGATGTTCTTGGTGGTGTATTTTACCATCATTTCTTAAAACTTGGGGATCAATTTGTAGTAACACTTAATGCATATTTCCTTGCATATGTTACTAGATTTGCCTGTCACTTTGGGGTGTGTTCATTAATTGGGGGTATGTTTCTAGGGAATCTGTGATTCCATCAATGTGCTGTTTGTGTTACTTGTGTTTCTGTGTGGAGCTGTATCTCTCCCTTCTGTAAGTCCTCACTCCCAATGGAGCTATCTTCCAGGACTCGGGTTCAGTGGAGCTGGGTTCCTCCAACTACCATATTGGTCAAACACATATACACACACAGATTAACGGCACGCCTGAGCTGCGCCGGGTTATTCAGCATTGACAGGGTAACACCCTCATATGCCTTGAACTCAGTTCTTCTCTTATTTCAGCAGGACAATAATAAATGCAGTTAGGCACACAATACACACGCACTAACAGAGTATGTCTGAGTAGGCTGGGTCCGATCGGCACTTTCAGCTGATACCCTCATGTGCCTCAAAGCTCAGTACATCCCAGTCTCTTGTCACAACGGTCCTAGTAGTAACTGCCTTGATGAGCAGACCCCACCATAGTTTTGGATCATTACAGGGATCTTTAGCTTAGATAAAATAAGTGTTACTGCAAAGCAAATGGGGAGGTCCAGGGGAAGGAAGTATAAATGAGGTTCAGAGAGAGTATAGCAACCAGCTTAACCATAAAAGTTATTTATTGCCAGGTATATGAACTTATGATAATACCAGTAGTAATAGCCATACAAGAGAGAGAAATAAAACAGTTACAGTATTACATAGTTTCAGTTAGGGATTTGGGGAAGTCTAACTCAAGTTTGATCAGCAAAAGTCAAGTTTAGAAAGCTGTGCCTGAAGTAAGAGAGTAAAAGTCAGGTTCCTGGAGTCAGAGAGAGAGAGAGAAAGATGTGGGGTCTCACCACTTAGCGAAGCTTGAACTAGCCAAGGTTCCCAGGTGTATGTTGGAGTTTGCAAAAAGGCAGAGCCCTCGGCACGGCCAGTGGAGGGATTCCAGGCAGAAAAGGAGTGGAACTGGTGCAGCTTTTGGATCCAAGCACCTGGACAGAAACTAGAGCTTGGGTAGGGGGTTTCTAGAGAACTAACAATGGCTTAAGGGAAAACACTAGGTTTGTTTATGGGTAAACCATGGCTCCTATGCTGGATAATAGGAACTGATCACCCCTGGCCATGGATGGCATCACTTGGAGGGAGCTCACAACACAGACAAGCAGATTCAGTGTTTTGGGTACCAGTAAAGGAGTCATTACTAGTATTGGTCTGATAAATGCTGAGCTGGATATGTGCAGATCTGGGTTGATTAGCATTTGGAGCAGGGATCCCCCATCATGCAGTGCTCCCCTGCTTTTCTGGTCCCAGATTTCAGTGAGGTCCTCTCCTTGGAATCTCTGTCCTCCATCCTGAATGCTGATGAAGATGCTTTCTTGCCCCATCTCCCATGTAGATGAATTGCCATCCGGTTCCATTTCCCATGTAAATGAGACCAGGGGAGTTGCTTCACTCCTATCACCCTTGCCTGGAGGGGTTTAGGTGCGTCTCCCACTGCATCCTCATTGTCTTTTGTAAATCCTTTCAGGCAGAGGTGGGAGCATGGTGGTGAGTCCTTTGTGAGTCAAACAGGCTGGGCACTGTGCTGGGGTTCCCCAAGAACATATAGCTGACAGGTAACACACAGCAACAGTCTCTTCAAGCAAGTAAGCAGTACCCTGTTTTTCAGAGTTCTTGGTGCCACTAATGGTATCAGTGGCAGTACTTAATTTATTAGTTGGATTGTATTTTCTCTTGGGCATTTGTCCTAGTCAGACATGATTAAGAGTTGTTCCTCTTGACTTCAAATGTTTTACATTATATTGGGTTCTATCAAGAGGATGTTTATGTGGCTGTTTTCTTGTAGCATGCCTCAAAATAGGCAATATATAATATAACCCAGTGATGTTAAGGGAAACAATAGCAGCAGAGGTTTATGATACGGTAATAAAGTTACAGTAATATATGACATAATAATGCTGTGAATGCACTTCATCCAGAGTCTCATCCTTTCTGTTCTTTGATAATTATTCCTTACATTCTGCTGATGATTACAGGTGGCTTTTCTTTCTTCTTTTGCAGAAGTCAGAGGGCCACACCTCTCCCACATGATGGACAGCCAAAAGAAATGTCTCAGGCTCCAGTGCTTATATCCTGTGCTGACCAGTGACGCTCCACTTTATTGTAAAATGTTGTGCTTTACCTAATATCCTAGCCTTGTCTTTACCAAGGGAAGCTAGTCAGTCCATATGATGGAAAATATAGACTGCAAACAAGTGCTTATTGCTCTGACTGGCCCAGATTTCACTGGAAGCCAGAACTTAGCAACTTGGGCCAGGTCCTCCAATCGGAACCCAGTATGTAAGAGGGTGGTGTTATTTGTCTAATAATGAACGTGGAATGATCCTGGAGCTTGCTTTCTATTGAAGGCTTTTAAACGGTAAATAGGTGGTTTACATGAAAAAGGCTGCCTTTACTGTAGCTCACACAGCATCTCCTTTACCAACCAGAGAGTATGGAAAACTAGTTTCATATAATATCTAGTTATTCTAAACAAAAATACAGAAAAAGAAGAAAAAAAAAAAACCTGACGCACTGCACTAGTTATTATTAGATATTCTTAGTCATTTTTGTACATGAAGATTTAAGTTCTAAGATGGTTTATATAATAGGTTATGCCTACATTTATATTGTAGAATGAATTTAAAATCTGTTCCGGAGAACTCAAGGCAGCATGGACATATGTACCATTGTTAGCGGTGTTTGTGCAGCCATGTGGTCCAGATGTTCTGCACTTTTATATTTGCCACCAGAGTGGTAGAGTTTACTGGCAAAAATTCTGACAGGCTATGGTTTTTTTTTCTTTGAAATTTAGCATGGAATAACCAGGAAGATTTGCATTAGAAAAAGAGGTGATGTAAGGAAAGAATGGTACTGCAAACAATTGACTTGTCTTTCATGCCTTGGAGAGGGCTCCTTTCTTTTTAAATAGAGGTCTAAATGACTGGGTGAATTGTTCATATAAACAAAAACAACAAAAAAAGTACTACAGATACATTGTTCAGAAGTGACCTTAGTATTACTTGGCTGTTCTGAAAACCTTGAAAACATGACTTTTCAATATACATGCACACCAATACATATAACTCTTACAGACACTGGCATTGTTGTAATTGCTATGCACAGTCTAAATTGAACTAGTAGGTTGTTTAGAGACTATTATAGTTTGTGTTCGTAAGGTGGGTGAGTTGTATGCAAGTAAGCCGTGACAGAAGAATAATGTTTGACTAAATTTAGGCAGAGGTCCACCTGCCAGTTTCCTGTCTTCGCTTTTGTTTGGTTTTTGTATTCTGCTTTTGCAAGAACATCCCAAAAGCCAGACCAAGTGTATCACTTGGCCTGCATCTTCACTATCTTGACTTAAAACGCTGTATAATCCAAGCAGTTGTTTGCTACCAACAAATGCAAAATTGTTATTAGAAATGACTCCTAGACTTAGAAAATCAACAGGGTTCTTTAATAGCACAAGGTCTCTCCCTGCTTTTTGCATCATAGCACAAAGAGTTACCAAATTGGTCCCCAGCAATAATTTTCTATTGGTCTTCGTCATACTGGCTGAATTTTTGATAGTATTAGGTTGAGTTTGAAGTTCTTTAACTTAAGTCTTTAAACAGTGAGAGTTTACATGGTTCTATCAGGCATTCTTATTTATACTTGACTGAATTGAAAATATGTTTCTGGGGTTATTTTGTAATTGTAATTTGATGTAATAGCCATATGGACAGTAACTCTATTAATACTTACTAGATTTAGCCTTTCATCGTTGTAGATGTAAGTACAAGTCTTTGGTTTCAGTGTTGGAAAATGATGTACAACATACCACATGAGTTGTAACTAGTGAAGAAGAGTTATTCAAAAGCAGATAGCTGGGTAAATCTCATTTAATACAGCACCCTCAAAGATGCATGTATTAGAGAAAGGGGAGAAAAAGGAAATAACTAAGTTGTAAGTTTAAAAGGCTTTTTTGAAAATTCAGGTAAAAATAAGACTAGTAAAGAGCCCCCAGCTATGCCATTTTAGCCTACAGTACTATTTTTAATAAAATGTTATTAATATTTTCTAAATTATTTTAACACAATGAAAAAACTGTCAACATTTAAAACTGTCAGGTCATAGCAAGGTGGCAGTTGGAGTTTTGGACCACTTTATAAATTATAATTAGCTGAAATCCAAATATCTTATAGTGCAGGCCATTCACGTTGACAATGGTACTAACTTATTTCTCTAGAAACCCTTAGAATAGATATATTTTTGCCAGAGCACCCCATACTCCTTCAACTTAAATTTCAATATTGTTCCTTAAGATATTTCTGTATATTAATGGTACCTTTTTTAAAAGAAACAAAAAAAGATTACTTTTTTCTATGTGAATTAATATCTTACTTGATCTACTTTTCCTTAACTTTCCCTTAGACAGGGGGTGGGATTGGGTCAATTTACTGGATATGACTGTTTTCAGATACTTATAAACCTTTTTGTAGATATGCTTAATTTTTAAGCGGTTAGGCACTGAGAGTAGCAGAAATCCTGCAAAGCTATATAGTTCACTAGACATTTGCCTTTGGTTTTCTGAGTGATGTCTTGATTTCAGTAGCTAGATCTTTTCCTGAATCTACTAGAAAGGGGTATCTGTATTTTCAGGTAACATTTGTTAGCATAACAAAACTTCAGACCAACATTTTACTGTATTGGGTTGGCTTTTCTTTTTGCTTTTCTTTTCTTTATAATTTGTGTTATTTTCAATTCCTTTCATTTTGGAAAATCATTATTGCTACGGTGTGTACTTCAGTATACCAGCAAACACTGTCACCCATTGACACGTGTCCACAAATGCCTCTAGAGAAGAAATTGTTGCACCTTATGTATATCTCAAGAAAACCAAAATATGATACTTTTCTGCTTTGTTTTTTCTGATTATGTTGTATCATACTTTACTGAACCCTTTCTAACCTAGCTAAAACCATCAATATTTATGCATTTAACCTTTAATTTCTGGATCTGAACCTGTGTATAAATCTTTCCTTTAAAAAAAAAAAAAAAAACAACCAAAAAAAAAACCTGATTATCTTAGTCCTCCTCTATGACTTCTGGATGGGAGTGGGAAATCTTGTCTCAAGTGTAAAAAGGCAGTACTGTCCCAGTTTTCCTTGGCTTTTTATTTATTTAGTTATCTTTGATATTTCACATGTAGTTTTGAGGTATACAAAATATATTATAGTAGCTGAAGCTACAGACATAAGCAGCTGGGAGAAAATTACTGTAATATTTTTTTAAATTTTATTAGTACTGTATATGATTATGGGAAAAACATTCTGCAAGGTATTTTGAGATGCAGGTTCTTAACCACCCTCCCTCCCCTCTCTACACACGCACACACATTAGGTTATTTTCCAGATATTAGACCAAAATTGATCAAAACCATTATGGAGATTAAACTCTGCTGTAATTATTGCAGTAATTATTCTCTTGAACATGCTGTGATTCCAGAAATAGAATATATTTATTTAAGATGATTGAATGCGCTCTTATGCTACTACAGTGTCCCAAAGTCAGAAGCTTAAAACTTTTCTTTTATTAGTTTCTATTCCCAATTGATGGCATTGGCGTGTGACTTTCAAAATGACAAATAAGCATTGTGCTGGGCAAAGGTGCTAGAAGAAGGGATTGATAGAAGTACCTGAGCCAGTATTGAAACTAGGGGTGCACCAATAAGGATTCTCTTGGCCAACAGCAATAGCCTATCATTCACCAGGCATATCAGCTGATACTCATAACCAATTTACAGGAGCACAGCCAGGCAGCATGGGGAGCAGCACCCTGCAGGTAAGTCTGTGAAGTGGAAGAGGTGTAGGGGAAGGAAGCAGTGTCATGGGGCAGATTGAGGCCCCCACAGTGGGGGAATGGAGCAGGGGGTGTTGTCCAGCCAGGGCAGTGAGTGGGACCCTGGGGCCAGGCCAGGGCAGAGCTGTGGGTGACTCATCCAGGGGATCAGCGTCCCGGCGCTTAAAAATGGCAGCAGGGGTGTTTGAACTAAAGCTCATTGAATGAGCTTTAGTTCAAGTTGCCACCACCACCACTTTTAAGCATGGGGACACTTCTAACTGGAGCACAGCTGAGTGGGGTGCAGGTAGAAGCAGGCTGCCTGCTGTGGGCTTGGGGCTCTCCACTCGGCTGCCTTTGCTGCAGGAGCCCCGCACTGGCCGCACCCGTGTCCCCTGCCCTTCCAGCAGCGGTGTCAGCAGCAAGTTGTGTCTTCTGCTGCCGGAAGGGCAGGGGACATATCCAGCACGCAGCTCCTGGGGCAAAGACAGCAGGGCGGAGAGCCCTGAGTCCACAGTGGGCAGCCCACCTCCACTGTGTGCACAAATCTGGGGGGTCACATGCCACCCCATGCCTCCCTCGGGTGAGCATTCAGTGACAGGGAAGCACCCCCCCACGGTCCTGGACAAGTTGCCTGCAGCTCCGTTCTGCTCCGTGCCCTGGGCCCAGGGTCCCACTCACTGCCCTGGCTGGGCCATGCTCTCAGCCCCTGCCCCACTCCCTTCCTCATTGTGGGGGCCTTGATTTGGCCCCCCACGTCCCTGCCCATCCACAAACTTAGGTGCAGGGTGCTGCTCTCCACACTGCCTGGCTTCATTCCTGGTCATATACATGCATACAGCTGCGCACATGCACATGGTGTTCAGGGGCCCTGGCCAGATGGCATATTGTATTTATTGGTGACATTATCGGCTACACCAGCCAAAAAAAGCCAATGACTGATGATATGAATTTTCTTTAATTTATTGCTGCCGCTCTGATATGTCACCAATATATCAGTGCATCTCTAATTGAAATGCCACCTGACATCCTTTTTTTTCTTTAATTGGTTGTCACTTTGCTTGAGTTGCACAATGCTGGTGAGCAAGCTGCACTAGACATCCTTATTAGAAACCCATGAGACCTGTAGTGCACCAGCAGAAGGAAGTGCATTAGGCAGAAAAACACCTTTATTTTTAAAGAATACATCTTTTAGTGCAAGGTATTAATGTGAAGTAGTTCTAATTTCTGCTGCCTATTTACCTACTGTATTCTGGAATGAGCTGAAGAGAACATCTGTAGTGGGTCTGTTTTAACAATAGCCTAGGAAGCAGGGCCTCCTCTCAACCAGGCAAGGTGGTGGTGACAAAAGGGAGCCTGGAAAAGAACAAAATAGAAAAGTCAAGAAGTAGAGTTGTGATGCTGTTGATTCTTGTCTGCACTCCCTTGTTTAATATTGATTTTAATAAGGCTACCTCTACTGGACTGCTTTAGTTTAACTTCTGTTGGCTGTTAGCCCTCACCCTACAGCCCGCTCAGCCATTGATACCATCACTGTATAATTTTCCTTTTGAAGAACAAGCTTCTTATGGAGGGAATGGTGTAAAGGTCACTGTACGGTGGTAGCCATGCTGTTTATGTTGATGTTACATTGTTATTGTGTGCATTCTGGTTTGAGAGAGATTCTCACGTTGGGTCAATGAGGATGTATTCACAACAGAAACTAGATCTTGTCAGATAGTTGACTTCAGATATTCCCAAAGTAATGCAGCAGTCCAAAAGTTCCTTTCAAAACATATTCTGCATTACGTTTTCTGTCAGGATGTTGCCAAAAAATATAATTCAGCAACTCACACTTCAAACTGTTTTATCCATCAGATGCTATTTGCTGTGCAGTTTTGCCAGAGTGTAGAGCTGCTAGGGATCTGTCATATTACTGTAATTTTTCTTGGCATTAATTCTCACTAATCTGTATCATTGTGAAATCATTGTCCACATCTGTCAGAGCTTCAAATCATATTCATGAGGGGGCGCAGCAAAAAAACTAATGCAGTTAGGCTGTGGTAGAGAAGTTTGCGTCTTTCCCTCAATTTTCCAGTACAGAAATTAGTGAGGTTTACACTTCCTGCCTAAATACCATTATAATCTTGCTAACTTTATTAAATTAACACTTCCATGGAAGACCACAGGCAGATATTTGCTGTAGCTAAACTTGTCTTTCTGTTGGTCCTTGAATGCCGCAGTCCAGAGGCCCATTATTTGGTTCCACTTCATCAAAGCATCCAAACTTATACTTAAGTAGATCCTTTCCCCAGGACGGCACTGTTATTACTGCTTAGCATGTAGAGTCATAGTCATGGATTAGACCTCACTGTGCTTACAGTGAAGCATATGCTTGTGTGCTGTTCTGATTAGAGATATTTTCTTGCATTGGGACTTTAATTCTTGTTATATTTAAAAATAGCGACATAGACTAACACTCATTAAGTTCTTCCAAAGAATTACTCTGTAATTACTGAGTTCTGACTACTACCAAGTACCAGACAGACACACAGCACATTTAAGTGGAAGTGGATCCATTTTACCTTATATCTTACAAAATTAATTCCTTGACTAACCAGGCTTCCTGCAATAACACTCTAACCTACCTGGCCAAAGTTAAAAACAGCCTCCCTCTCCCCCACTCTTATTTTTTTAATTGGTGCCTGGGGCTTTGAAGGGGACAGAGCAGTGTATGGAGTGGAGTGCAGCGAGCTGCAGCCTTTTCTCCGTTAACCAAGTATTCTCTATTTAGGAGTTGGCTCCTAAGATAACCTGAGGTTTTCTGATGCCATGTTATGAACTCTGTTTTCATAGATTTCAGTCTTTCCTTGCACATCACAAACCAGGGTGGGATTTTCAAGCACACCTGAGTTAGAAATGGAAGTCCTGTGACTGCCTCACTTGGACACTTATGAAAATCCTGTGCCTAAACAAGCGTTGCTGTGACCGTCAAGTTTTTCAGTCTGTCAGCAGTTTTAAATGTGGCTGGTTTGTTATTGCTTATTTTCATAGGGCCCAATCTTTCCACCCTCAGTCTCCCACATAATTCTACTGATTTTTGGCCCATAATTTGGCTTTATTCTCTGTCTTGTTTGCTGTAAACATGCTTTGTAATAGCTTATCTCCAGCCAATGGCATAACAGAGGGATTTCCTTCCTAGATGTATGTAGTTAAAGTCAATAAGCACATTTATAAAATGTCATTCTTTCTTTCAAAAACTTTTACCTAATTTGATATTTTTAAAGTGCACATGTTAAGTCATGTGTATAACATGCTAAAGTACATTAACTGTGATCATGAAACTGAATAAAATATTTAATAAAATATTTGAAATATTTGAAAAAGACCTCTAAATAGATTTCTTTGTTCCCTCTATTTTAGCTGTCCACTATATGCTTGTAAATAATTTCCCATTTAAAATGAATGGATACAGTTAAATATGGTAAAAATTGAGCTTCTGTGATATTTCACCTGCTTCAAGATCAAGTCCTAGATGAAAAAATGCTGGTAGACCTCAGATACTGCTGGAGTAGGAAAACGTGCCTGAATTGAGTTAGTTTAGACTGCCATTTCTTCTAAAGATGGTTGGGTCCCACCCAGCGCCTTTTGAAAAATCCCATCTGACCTCAACAGGTTTGCATCTCATGCACCTGCATGTGTTTAAGATCAGACCTTTACAGCGGGCTTATGCTGATGAAGTTCCATTGAATTCACTCAAGTTAAACCATGTCGCCCTGGAGTAGCAGCAGCAGAGAATCAGGCTTGTCTCTCTTGCTCATTGGATTTTTGTCTTCCAGGCCTGCTCACAAATTTCATCTACAGCCCACACAAAATTGGCTTAAATCACCTTTAAGTAACAGAGCCCTTGCTTCATTTGTAGGCCCTAGACATTAAAGGATTTGTTTAAAAACTGATTCTTCTACACCAAAATGGGACTTGCTGTATCATGCTTATGTTGTTGAAGTGCCTCAGGGCTTGAGCCAAGTTTGGCTGCATTTGAACTTGAGCTGTTTCCAGTCTGCACAGTTTTTCCCCTTGCACATACTAGATGATTTAGATTTTCAGGGTCCAATCCACCACTCCTCATGCACCTGAAACGCCATTGATTTCATTGGGATGTTTTTGATGTGCAAGGAATGAATGCAAGACGGTGCCCTTGGTGGAGATGGAACGTAATGCTCCGACAACAGTGAAAGAGGAGGATGGCAGTTATCAATGCGC